GTACGCGACTGCTTAAAACAGCCCCGGTTTATATATTTCTAAAATCTTACAACAGCCGCGAAGGCGTAAAGTAGGCTAAAACTGTTCCTTTTATTAACAGCCTTAATAAAACTTAAGGAACACGCAATTTTTCATGTCGTAAGTATGTTCAAGAAAATCCAAAACCCGTTTACCCGTTAAAACAACCAAGAACCAACGTTCTGCAAAGAACATTGCAGAACTGTTCGACACTGCCTCGTCTGTGAATTACTGAGTTTGTTACTCTGCCGAGTAGTCCAATATAAAATTTATGCTCGCAAAGTAAGTACTGGTCTGGTGAAATAAACAACCTTTAAAATTAATGATAAATCGAATTTTAGAAGTTTCAAGGTTAAAACTATATATATACGTACTAACTATATGGCCACTGGGCAATATGGGTAAGCAGAAGGTGCAATGCGCCATGAATAGTCTGGAGGAATCAATCACTATTTTAAGAGCATTAGAACAGCTCATGATATTTAGAAAGTCGCGTCTATTCATAATCCGGCTACAAGCAATGAAATGGTTGGTTAGTGTGGCATATTCATAAAGGAACAATTTAATTGTACAATTCAGTTATAGCTACAAAAAGTTCGAGACTATTTGGCTTGCATTACTGCTCATAAAATGTAAGAAACAGTAGCATAATGGTTGATTTTTAGTTTATCTGTTGAAATTGGAATGACGAAGCGATACCGTTTGATTACAAATATCGTTACTTTCGTTTAAATGCTTACAGGCAAATGTTTTTGTACATAATGATCAGATTTCAGAATTTACGGTAAATAATCCGCAGGTTCCGTGTTCTACAGCGAACTTATCGTGCTTTGATTCGGCGGTATTACTGACGGTGATTTGCGATCGGTAGTGAGTAGAGATGGCAAAGGTTTCGGGTTCCGGGTGAGTAATAGCTTTTTTCATGTTCATTAACCGTTTAATTATTCCATTACAATTTTGCTCTTGTCAGTTTGATGCAACACTATTTTAAGTATTATGGCGTTTCTGGCTTGAAACTTATAACTAGAAACAGTGCTCTTTGTTTCGATTTATGAAAGTAATTTATGTGATTTTGTTTTGCGATAATTCGTGAAAATCAGCTCTCTAAATTTCAATTTTTGGCAAAATACATCACAGTAAAATGCATATTTTTAGACAGTAAATCAAAATGCTCTCTTTTCCTACGTCATAACTAGTGTTATATGCGATCTATGACTAAAACTTTGTTGAGAATATGTGAAAATGCTCACTTAACAGAATGCTTATTTAGCTAATTCTTATTATGATGTTGATAAATTTTCAGCACAATTTTTCAAGTTTAATCATGCATTAGCTGTCCCATGTTGGATTGCGTCGTGCAAAAACCATTGTTTTGGTGTATTTCCGTTAAGGCTACCAGAACAAAATGAAATTTCTTTCACAGTTATATCTTATAGTGTAAAGAATAAGTGCTTATCATTCGCGTGTATGCTGTTTCTGCTGAAAATATGTTGAGCAGTTTTCATCGCTTCCAGTGGAAGCGTAGTTAAAAATATCAGTGTACTTTATGGCGCGCTTTAAGGACAGCAGAAGAGAAGGAAAATAGTCTTGATCGGTATCCGTTGTCTTGGTTTTTGTTGCTGCTATGCTGTGAACACAAAGCTGAAGTATGACAATAAATGTCTCGTGATAAGGATGAGTTTTCACTCTGTATTTTTCATTTGATGCTGTTTAGGTTTCCATTGTATAATGACTGAATGCAGTAATTTACTCTAATCGATCCCTCAGGTTTAGTTATTACGAAATATTTTGAAATCGACAGAAGACTTGTTATGGAATGCAGAAATTCTTGTTGAGAATAGAAAATGAAGCATATTAGAAAATGAGCAAATTTTGCTTGCAAATTTCTGATATTTCTGTCCTTACTTATGACTAAGTATTATGAAATTTGATTCAGTATCGAGACCAAAATCGCAATACTAAAAGTTTATTAAATCTGAATAATTTTACAGTGGTTATACTGTTTATTCATAAAACTGTTGTTTCGTCATCATCATCGAAAACGAACAGACCTTAGAGTTCGAGAGCGGAGTAACCAGGTTCGTAACGTGTGACCTTTAGAAATTGTATTTCATATTGGCATTAGGCAATGTTCGCTGTTTCCTCAAAGGTCATGTTCCTCTTCGCAAGCAGGTGTGCTTCAGAGACAGTCTAACAGGCTTTGTATAATCCTCAAACGTGTCTGTGTCCAAATTCTATGCGTAATATTTGTTGACCGTGATAAAAGCTTTAATCGATAAATACCAGGCATCTTCTGGTATCTCGGTTTATAACTAAGGAATCAGTGCTCTAATCATTGACGAATCTTGTCTTAAGAATTATTGTTTCTTTCAGTTTAAGCGATGGTGTTAAAAGTATGTAATGGTGGATTTACGTATTAGCTCGTTTTGTTCCTCACATACGCTTATATTATTAGTGAAGTTTTAGGTTCCATTAACTTATGAAAGTGTCGACATGGTTCATTAGCAAAAGCCAGTAAATTATTCAGTTCTAGTGTAAAATGTGCGTGTAAGGCATTCTTGCTATAAGCTGTTCTATTAAATAAACTAGAATAAAATTAAGTTTAAACGGGAGGTTATGTATATGGCGTATAAGTCATTATATAGTATGCAACACAGTGAGCGACTTTTAATTAAATCGACCTAAAAATGGGTTGAATGTTAGATTGACAGGCGGTTAGTTAAATGTATTTAACTTTTCAATACATTTATTTATTTAAATTTGGATTTACATGTATTAATGTTTTGTTCATGTCTATAGATGTACATTGTAAACAGTTTATCTCTGATGCGTTGGTGAGACAGTTTTTTTTACTTTTTCAAACGCCACAGAAAAGTACAATGCAATCGATGGGACAGCTGTCTCAGTGCCTTGTTCTTTTGTTTTAATGGGATGTCTACTGTTGGGCTGTCTCTGACAATTGAGTTTTTCGCTCGTGCATTGATGGTATACACTACATAAAGACACGGTTTATTCATATACTGCGGAAGCAAATTAGTAAATCGAGTGATGAACCGGTACCGATGCTTTAGCTCGTGTTTCATAGGCTTTCTTCAAGATGAAAGGGTTGTTTTCCGAAGTTCGTTCTGTGATCCGCAGCTGTTTTAACGTTTGGAGCCAAAAAGTACATTACAAGAACTGCTGGGCAGTCACAAATCGGACTTCGGAATCAACTCTACCTTGAAGAAGGTCCTTGAGATGCGAGCTAAAGCGTCGGTACTTGTTCATCGGCCGATTAGCAAATTTGCATTGTGCTAACCATGTTTTTATCCAGTTTTCAGTTGGGCCACCACTACTATGTGTGATTTTCGCCTACAGTAATACTCGTTTTTCCACCTTGAAGGAACCAAGTACCAGTCGCACTGGGAGACTTTGGAACGCTTGATCCTTACACAACGCTTATTATACTCTCTCACTTAAATTGCCATGCTGCAAAATACGATGTAACGTGAAATAATCAAAATATTAAAGAAAAGGGTCTAAAAGGCATTAAATAATTGTAATAGATATTTGCTCATAATTTCATAACAAGTTCTTTCGACTAAAATCTGATCTTCAACAAAATGTGTAGAAAAATAGCTGAATGATGTTTGCTTATTTGATCTGTTCGCTCCTTTACACTGACTGCGACTTCGTACAATATATGAGATAGCGTACTCTGTGTTTTACTGCATTACCTAAACTTTACATTTTACTGCATGATTGTCCGGTATCAGACCTTAGTTGTTTAGAAAGTAGGGTGCTTTGTTTGGCTTCATTTTGTAGTAAGTTATTAGTACGTACTCTGAATTCATACATATACTTGAATAAATTTTGGATTGATCAGTTTATCTAGTAAATACAAAATTTCAGTTAATATAAATTTTACTTTATGTTTATGTCTTTAGTACTGTGCTACATGCACCAATCGAATGGGCTCAGAGGGACAACATATTGTTTCTGACAATTTGTGTGGACGATTGCAAGGCGCCAGAGATCGACATTAAAGATGATAAGCTGACATTTAAGTAAGTGTATTAAGTGCCGGTTTGTTCTTATGAAAAAATTGTTGTAGGGGTTTTGGAGGTCACCCTGAGATTGAATACCAGTCTGAAATTGAGTTTTACAAGCCTGTCGATGCTGAGGTATAGAAAAGTTTGAATTGCTTTTTTTGTTAACTGCTAAAATTGGTGTTCTGATCTCAGAAAGCGAAGCGGATTCCTTCGGACCGACACATTCAATATGTTATTCCGAAGAAGGAGGCGGGACCGTTTTGGCCGAGATTAGTTTTATCCAAGCAACGGGCACCTTGGATTAAAGTTGATTTCAACAAGTGGAAGGACGAAGACGAAGATTCGGCAGACGAGTCGAAATGGAACATGAACGACGTAAGTTCTTTACCATCAGTTTCATTGATGATTTACATTGTTTTGTTTGGTTAATTAACCTTGCTGTTTCAGTTCGGAGGTGGTGCAGGCGCTGGTGGCATGTTCGGAGGTTCTGGCAAAAATAATTTTGGCGACTTAGTAAGCAGTTTGAATCTATTGGCTAACTTATTTGAAGTCAGAGTTGACAAGTTATCCTGACATGATGAAAAGACGTCCT